AGTAGTTCAAAAAATCTTCCCATTGTAAACATCAACCAATAGTTATATTTCTAATGTTAGTCTTCAGAGAACAAGAGAGAATTCTAAATATAATTTTAACTTCTCACAACCTGTAAACCTCGATTCCAAGATTTTGGCTCCTATCGAAAAAGCTTTTCAAGTTCAGTAAAGTTTCAGATTCACAAAGAAATGATTAGGCATCTTATCGCTCATAATGTGAAATTCAATAATTAAACCTTTGAAACCAAATCTAACTGCGAGAGAAAGAGCTACAATGCGGCGAAATTCATTCAACCCGGATATTATCATTTCAAAGGCCGACAAGGTGGCCAGATAGTCGTCATGAGAAAACATACATCGATGGTGTCACTAACTCTTAAACGTAGGACCATATAATCCGATCCCTAAAGAGCCTTCACCTTCGGACTTATCCAAAATAAAAACTGCGATCAAATCTTCGCAAATCATTTCAAGGCAACTTAAAACATTCGCTATCCCAGCTGTTGCGAATTGTGCCAGATATATGCTCTTCCCAAATTCATAAAAGTGGTATTCCTTCCGCCCTATTGTATCAAATTTAGGTACTTGCCTCGTATCCTTTAGCTAAATATTTAGTTTCTAGATTTTCCACTCTATTAGACAATAACATTTACACCATAAAAAATTCAATAGAGTTTTGTAAAAAAGGTTAAAAACATTTCTCCTAGTAATTTACTCATGGCTTCTTTTGATGTAAAATCATTATTCACCAATGTCCCAGTGGAGGGGCATTAAGATGTCTAGAACCAGACTTCGCGAATTTCATTTCTCTTGCATCGAAATTGATGAGCTAACTTCTCTCACTCAACTCTGTTTGAAACAAACACATTTGTTTTCCAAAATAAATATTACAAGCAAACTGAGGGATTAGCCATGGGAAGTCCCCTCAGTCCCATCCTGGCTGATATCTACTGCATTATTATGAATCAAAATTGTTTGAAACTTTAAACTTCCCGGCATGGTTCCGCTACGTAGACGATACTTTTACCCTGTTTGAAGGTATATAAGATGATTAAATAAAGTCTTTCAACCATGAATTCTATTGATCCTGCTATTCAGTTCACTTTTGAACTTGAGACTTGCAATTCTCTTCCGTTTCTCGACATTCTGGTCACACGAACACATCCAACTTCAGTACTACAGTTTACCGTAAACCTTCATCGGTTGCCTTCCACCACACTTTAAATCATGTCATCCGACTAAACAAAAGTTAGCTTCATTTTTATTCCTATGTTTTCCGTGCTCTTCAAGTTTGCTCCTCCAAACTAGCCCTTGATGAAGAACTAAATTATTTAAAAGCAATAGCTATTGACAGGGGCTTTTCACCCAACATTATTAATCAAGCAGTTAAAAAATTCTCATCTCAACACACTAAAAGCCACACTCTTATTTAGGAGATTATAAAATTCTGTTGTCATTCCCTTCTTTCCATCAATTAGCTATAAAGTTGCACATATTTGCAGAAATTAACTTTCGGGGGTTGTTTTCTCCCATCAATAAAATTCCAACTTCTATACTCAAGGACCCCATTCCGGATATGAATTCCTGGGGTATTTATAGGATTCTTGCCAGTGTGGTTTAATTTACATTGGCCAAACTAAGAGAGCCTTAAAATTTCGCGTCGAAGAACATGAGGCATATGTTAGAAAAAAGGAAACACAGAGGTCTTCTGTTGCTAAACATTGTTGGTCCGAAAATTACACTTTCATTTTTCTGCTGCCAAAATTATTCAAAAAACATCTTCCATTGGAGAACTGGATTTCTAGAGGCATTTCACATTCACAAAAATCTTTCTGTTCTAGTTAACGATCCTAATTCCAATCCAAATTTGCCTTCGCTTTTAGAGAAATTATGTTTTAGTTCTGGTTTCGCCAACAGATGGCGCCACTGTGCTATTTTTTTAGGCTTTCTTATATCTTTCTATTCATTATTTCTATCTTGTTCATTTGCGGTTTTGCAGCTGAATGATGGTTCGGTAAAACCATCGAAACTAGTCCTGTGAAAATTTTGTAGGTATAACGCTGATTTTTGTTGTTTGACTTCTGAACAAGTTACTGTTCTTAAGATAAAAAGGATAAGTTAAAAATGGAGACTTAAGGGATAATTATAAAATAAAGGTGGAATTTTATCTTACACACATGCATAGAGGCCATTAGACATTTCAGTCCAAAGAACATGAAAATTCAACTATATTCTTGCCAGGATTCGAACCATAAATCTTCTGATTCCTTGATGAATCTGTAGATCACTTACATAAGGAGAACACGCATGGGGGATGTGATAATTCCTTACACTGTGTGTCAGATTTGCGATTATTACATTAATGCATAAGTATATTTAATACATGAATGTTGGTAAACTATTGTATAGTGCATTCACACATATTTTTTATTTTTACTACTTCAATTCTAAGTAAAACATAAGCGAATATGTATAAATAATGTATTCTCTCGATACTACTTTCATTGATATCCCACATTCAGCTTGAAGTAATAGTTAAAAGTACGCTTGCATGTCATAAATTTATGAAGCAAATAAAAAGACTAATTAACGAGAAATTGGTGTCTGAAGTGTAAATTTGGCAATAAGATAAAATAAAATAAGATTATCTGTTAATTAAAAGTTTGGTGTAAATTAAAAACAAGTTCTATTTTTATTTTAGACATTATTAAAAGAAGGGTTTTATATTTTGTTTTACGAAAATTAATTTTTTTTTTTTTTTTTTTTTTTTTTTTTTTTTTTTTTTTTTTACTTTGTCATAGCTTTTGCCGAAACAAATACGATTCAATGAAAAAATAAAAATCTCTGACATTAGAGCAAATATGTTTAATCCTACAGGGGAAAAAAAGGACAAATCCATTAAACCGAATTTTTCGAATACACGGTTAGATTAAGGTCTGTTATCTAGATATTTGTAGTTCTAGTACGCTTCTATATATACGACTTATATACATAAAAATCACCACTTTAAATTACCATAATGCATAATTGAAGTTACTAAAAACAAAAAGAAGCCCGTGGTTGATCTTTTTAAAATAACAGTTACTAGCAATAGTAAGAAAGCTTGTTTCGAATGAGATATGGATACATATTTGACATCTGAAACTCACTGTGTTATCACATATGAAATCTGAAACTGAGAAAACAGACCCTATAACAAATGCATTATTAATCATCTCAAAGCTGTTGACAAATGTGTCACGTATAAAGCAGTATCAAAGAGATAACAAGAGATATCAAAGGATATTATTTTCGACAACGAAATCTAAAACAATATTCTAGAAGAAGATTACCTAACGAAATAGAAATAGGATTAATTATTTTTGCTAGCTTGCTAATCTCAAGGTTAATCTTAACGACTCACTCAAAAGCACTTATCACTGATAAAATTATGATTCGTATTCAGCTGAAATATAATCACGTTGATGCTTGTTCCTTCTTGGCTAACAGGATAAGAAATGAAAATTAATGATCACACGGAATGTTCCATTGAGTTCGTGTCAATGCATGGAGATTTAGAATCATAAGTTTCCATATTTCGGGGTTACACTCAGATTCCATTATTATAATTAAAAAAAATATATATGATTAAAGTTGAAGGTAACAAGATAAGATTCTTCAAGAATAGCTCTGGGTCCATATCTCTGTTATGAAAGGGAGCAAAAAAGTTGTCTTTCAATCTAAATATTTTTAATTCAGAAAGCAAATGTGATTACTCAAGCGTAGAAGCTGGAATGCTAATTAATTTTAACGTGATTTTTTCCCAGAATCTGAATTTTAAATCAACTGACAACTCAAAAATAATTTGAACTTAAAAAGGAAGGCCAGTTTTGGGACTAAAGTTGCAAAAGGTCTTGTCGTGCTTACTTTGCTTCTACTACCCTTATTTCCTTTATATCAACTATTTTAATAACAGGCAAACTTTCGATCAATAAAAAAGGACTTTAGGATTCACTTGATAATGGCAGCCTTTAGAAGTTAAGTCACCCTTACGTTAATTTAAAATTTCTATGGGGATTAATAAATTTAAAAAAAAAGTAAATAAAATCATGTAAACATCAAAAGGTAACATAAAATACCGCAACTTGAAACCTGAATACAACGCAAACGACAATATGTCTGCAATACACTCGATCCCCAATTACTTTAAACGAATTAAACAGGCCTTACAGGGGATCGCTCTTCCCAACCTTCAAGTTATTTCTTCAATAAATAATAAATTTAAATACTTACCTGACTACTATTCTAACTTTTAGCAACGGCAACCAATACTAAGTCTGGGCTAGGCAGCAAAACTTCAGCTTTTATATCGTAGCCCATATATCCTCGTTGAGTTTGCTGAAAGACGATTTATTTAACTTCATTTAAATAGCTCGGTCTTATGGAGAATTAGGAAGTAAAGAAAACAAAGGAAGGCAGAAGAATGTTTATCTATAAGGCCCACATTTATCAGCGAAATAAAAATAAATCTTGCAGTATTAACAAAGTAACAACAGTCAATATTACAGTTATTTGACTGCCACCAATTTCAAAGCTCTTTACAACGTACAATAAGATTGACTGGCACATGCGATTTGTAACTGTCTGTCATATTGCCGGCCCGGAAGTTATTACCATACAGTTTATCAGTTCCATCCAGTGGCAGTCAGACAGCTTCTAACTTTTCGCGTACTGGAGCACCTGACCAGCATTTAAATTTCACCTTTTATCAAAAACCATCAGAGATATGAAGCCTGAACACAAAAGAGTCTGTGACTGTAGCAAATAGCAAAAATATTCTTTTTTTTACAGGAAATGGGGAAAAAAGTGCTGGAGACAATTATTTGATCACGTGGTCAGTGGGCGCGCCAGCTTCAAGGGCAAATCATCTCCCAGAATGCACACGTGCACGCGACGATAATCCACCAATCAAACGCCAAATTGTTTTTTGCACCCCCCGTTCCTACTATTAAAGGAAAAAAGTCGATTCTAATTGTGTTAGTTCGTCAAATATTTATGACCGGCACTTAATTCTAGGCTTTTGATATCCTGGCATCACTTATCTGGAACATCTGCTGATGAAGGATCATTTTTGGCCTACATTGATTTCACACGTGGTAATGATTTTAATTTCCCACTTTTAAGTAACAGAATTCTATTTACAACTTCTCATTTTTTTAATCTTAGCTTCAGAGTTAAATACGGCAAAAAGTAACCATGCCAAATGGCGCATCACAAGCATATGAGAGAAAATTCTAAAACTATCCTTTAATTCACAGGTTCTCAACCTTTTTTGCTCCATGCGCCCCTTTCACCAGTGCTAAATGATCAAATGATCCCCCCTTCATTTCAAAGCTTGAGAGATACATTTATATTTATTTAAATTTAGGTTATTTTTTACTATAAATTGAACAAGAAAAAGTATAGAAAATGTTAATAACTATCAAAAGTTAATTAAAAGTTTTTCTATATTCACAAATATATATATATATATATATAGCAAATAAATCGGTTTTCTTACCTCCATTGTTATAAAAAGTATGTAAATTCATCGTTCTATAGAAAGACAGTACACCCCAAACGCTGATTTTTAAATTTCAAATTTGTTTCTTGTTATTTAATATTTCATGTGAATTTTACGAATTTTTGATATTTTTCTACTCTCATAGGCTATTTTATCATCACAAAATTTCCCATTTTATATCATCATACACCACACGCAACTTTCTTTCAAACGAAGCGTGTTCAACCTCTGTATTTTAAAAACTGAATTTTGCTCAATTTTTAGAAAAGAGGTCACAAAAGGTGGGGAAAAAACGCGAAAATTACTTTTAAATCGTCAGTTACAAAATACTACGATCTTTAAAAAAGTATATATATTATATATATATAATATATAAGTAAAAAATTTAGAACCAATTTTACACAAAGACCCAAAAGAAATAAAACTAATAAATTTCAAAATAACTTATAAATACGCAAAATAAGGATTAAAAAAATGTGAAACTAAAACCTAAAAATTACAAAAACCAGAAAAAAACAAAGCATATGGATGCTTGTAAGCATACAATATCTCTGAAGCAAGGGGACACTCAAAGTACACGGCGAGACGAAAGTCCTTTCGAGAGACTGTGCTAGAGGAGGAAAGGTGCTGCTAGAGGAAAAGTTACTTGAACTTACAGCATGCATTTGAGGTTAAAATATATCTCAACAAAACTCGGTAATAAGAATAAAAGAATATGCAATAGCTTTCGGCTGTTATAGCTGTTAAATGTTGGAGAATTAAATAATAATAATAATAATAATAATAATAATAATAATAATGTGATTTCTTTTATGATGTCTAATGATGTAAAACCGAATGATTTCACGCATTTTACCATTTAAAAATATTATATGAGCGCCATCTTCTAAAATTCCATGACTGTTGACATCTCTCATAACATTTCTCTAAAAAATTCTATGATTGTAGATCAGTTAATTAATTCTTTATAGCTGCGCTATAAAGGAAAATAATAATAAGAGGAAGAAGATCGTGACTTACTGAAAGAAATATGATGGAATAATATTACTGAAGGGAAAATGTTGCTAATACTACTGTGATGATAAGATAATTCTAATACTGCTAATTCTTAAATTATAATTCAAGAGGTAAACCACACAAAGAAAAAAAATCTAAAGAAAATCCAGATTTTTTTTTTTTTTTTTTCCCTAATATTCCATTGAGAAGCATAAATAATCGATGGCAAAATGAGAAGTCTAATTTTTTCACGATTTTTCCCTTCTAACGCACGCTTTCGCGAAACGGATATGCAGTTACTAATACTAGAAACAAACGTGTCGGAATGATTGATTCGAAGAGAAGCTTACTTTAAACTAACAACAATGCCTCCCCAACTGCGACAGAATCAACTACGACCTTTCTCAAGACTTGTCACCGTACTGTCATCTTCAATTATGCACAATTATGGAAGCATCTGCTTCTTTCGACTTAGTTGTTTTTTTTGCGGGGAACTGTGTCGTCCAGCTGCAGTGAACTTCGTTGCATCGGTTTGTCAAGTCATCCACCGATAACACCCCGTGAACCACCCCGCGTCATCAAAAGAATGGACATCTTTCCGCTTAATCTCTGAACACTTGTTGTATGGCCTTTTGATTGATCGAAGACGTCAAAGCAGCAAAACGTAGGTTAGGACAGTTCTGACATGCTAAATATAGTTGAAGAAGAATATTGATGGCTTACAAGATTCAGCCACGGCCTCAAACTACGTATTCTGAATTAAGGACTACCAACTGAGCGAGGAAATGTCAAGACGACATGTAAGGTGACCCTGGAAGCATTAATAAGATATCAAGATCTCGATGATTAAGATCTTAATCTCAATCATTTTGTTTTTCTTTGATAGGCGTTTATTACATGATTGAGAGAATTTTCTTCTTTTAATAAGAGTTGGGACATGTTTTCATCTTGTTGGTTGTCAAAACTGATCACATATGACATTATACTGATTGTTAATGCATGTCCAATAAAGAATAATATATTAGAGATTTTTTATATTGCAGAAAACAATTACATATAAATATTAAATATGAAAAAAGTATATAAAAAGCCTATTATATTCTTCTTGAATTTATTTTATTGACAGTCAGTAAAACACAGCAATATCGAAGCAACTAAATAAATAAAGTTTTCGGTCTAAAAAATTCAAATTTCAAAGCCTAAACCTAAAAGAAGAGCTTTTTTACCATTAAAAATTTAAAAAAAAAAAAAAAAAAGGAATCTGATTTTTGTTTTAGGTTCAAATTTAATACCTGAAATGATTTCAAACAATTGCGAGTTTAATAATTAGTTTCAAGTTAAAAAATTCATTGAAAGAAAGTCAAGGCACAGACTGTGAAATCAAATATACTGAATTCTTCCAGGGCGATCACCTCCTAAATAGACCACCTCTGATTAATGTAAGAAACTATCATGTTTACAATATCTGACAGCTGATTTTATAGAATTTGAAACTTAAAACATGATAGATGGTTTGAGTCTTTTTTACAGAAAAAGGATACTTGTAATTTTCTGGGTATGTAACGCCACTCAGATCACTATATGTACAGATCAACATCTGAAGTTGGGGTAAAACTGCTGCCATGAGTGCAAATAGTGTTTTCAGCGAGAGCGAATATTTTAAACTTCTGACTTTAGTACACAGCATTCTTTATCATGAACTCCTAAGTTTTATTTTGTTTATCTGTAGAAAAAGTTAATCTTACTTTGTTCCCAAAGGTTACTTACTTGAATTTTTTTACAATAATCACGTTATTTGCAATGCTGCTGTTAAAATAATTCGGTATAGTAACCGAATAATGACATATCTTTCCTCTTGACATTAATCACCATTTTGAAGTAACGGCAATAAAGCAAGTTATCACCAGCAAAAGAATAAATAATTTACAAAAATACTAAACAACTAAAAGTTGATTTCAGTTGTAACTTATGGTAAAATTTGAAATTATTTACAGGGAAAAAAATGAATAAATAAATAAATTTTAAAAATTTCATCAACTTGTGGCATTTATGTTTTGCTAAAGAAATGTTAATTAATTTAACTCTCCTTTTCTGCCTCTTTTCCCCACGACGTTCGCTCATTACAAAATTTATGTAAATCTGAATGGCAAGCAGTTTTACTATAAAGTTTAGAGATTTACCAATAAGAGTATGAGAGCTTGGCCGCTGCTTTGCTCATTCTAACAAACTCTGTTGCTGATGCTAATGCTGGCCCGGCCGTGAATGCTTTAGAATGAAGTTAGATCTTGTTTTGGTAAGTGTATATTTGAAATTATGTCGATGTCTAGGCAATTTTGTAGTCTCTAGTCAAATTAGATTTTATTTTTTGCATTTATACTCTTTGTGGAAGGAAGTTTTGAGTTTTAAACCAATTCCAGACTGGCTGCTAAACTTATGCTTATATATTTTAATTTAAACACTCACGAGTAGTGAGGTACAATACAGACTTTTAATTCTTTGCCTGTTTATTTGACAGTTAGACATTCTAGTGGTGAAAATTCACCGCATAGATCAAATGTAACATTTTGTTTTTATGGTAATTGACAAAACTAAATTATTTTAAACATATAGCAGATGTTACAGATTAGTCTGAAAAACGGTTGTAATTTACACGTTTAACTTAATCAACTAAATAACTAGAATTAGTTTAACTCTCACTTCTTCTTCTTCCACTACACTACTTATTGTAGGCCAGGATGTCTCAACAAGCTTCCCTAACTTTCACGAGAAGGATTTTAATTTTATTTTGCACTTAGGAAAGCTCTCAAGCCATAGTCAGACAGTAGGGCAGGAACAACCTCCGAAGCGACAAGTGCTTCCTCATGAAGGAACTAATCTCGCTAGCCTTAAGCATAAATTGCATTAAAAGGCAACAATATTTAAACGTAAACTTGCGTACCTGAACTTTGCACAAAATGTCTGAGTTTGACAAATTATTTATAACAGAACTAAAAAATAGCAGGAAACTACAAAACTAAAAAACTGATAGAAAATTAGCATAATTGTTCCAATTATGTATATGCGATTGCAGAAGCGCATGGTGAAGCCAGAAGAGGGCTGTCTCTTAAGTAAGCTAACAAAAGCTGTCAACCTATAGCAATGCGTCTGAACAGTAAAATGAGATTTAACACAGACTGCACTTTTTAAATCCAGCTAAACCTGTGGCCCAGCAACTCCCGGGATCTTTGAATCAGCCATTATTAGTTTGTAGATCGGCCACCAGGGGCGGCGCTGTTAATACACTTGTTCAAAATCTGTTTACATTGTCGCCTAGTTTGGGTTTAACAGTACTTTTAATTTTTCACACTTTTCAGCAACATAACAGGCCATCAGAATGTCAAGTAAAAGATCGTACGATGGAAAATATGATGTAAAAAGGATAAGAAAAAATCCCTAACTGGACTTGAAAGGTGGAACACTTGAAAACAAAATTTGATACAGTAAAATCTACAAAGAGTTGAATTTTCAACTGTAATCGACTCTAAAAAAAATTGTTGTTGTTTTTTAATAAAGCCAAATAAAATGTTGTACAACCTCCCTTAGGAAGATTAACTAACG